TGACGATGCTTCATTCCTTCTCCCCTCCCCCCCCCCCCCCCAACCAATTAGAACTGAATATGTGGAATAACCACGAGCTGTTCGCGGATGGGGGGGAGGGGAGAAGGAATGAAGCATCGTCAACCTGTATGAGAACTGTCGGAGGAGGAGGAGAAGGAGGAGGAGGAGGAGGAGGACACCTGCTGCCCCATTTTGGGCAGGTCCTCCTGGTATAAACAAGAAAGCCAGCAGAGGTGCTGGGGCTCACACAAGCCTCCCAGGGCACCTTCAGACTGCAGGACCTTCTCTTTTCTTCCATGCAGTCTGGAGCAGGTGGGAGCCGGGGCCAAGTCTCAGCCACAAATAGAAAAATAAGCGGAAGATCTGTGGGGCAGGCTGTCACTGTGAAGGATCTCTGCACATGCCTGTGAGCACGCTTCTTCCAGTTGCTCCGCTGTTGTTCCTTAAGCCTGGACCCTGAACCTCTCTTGGCTCTGCCTAACCTGGTCCTGCTGTGGCTGCTTTTTCTCCCTCCACAGCCACCCCCCTTTGGCACGCCTGGGGGGCCCTCACTCCCAGGAGCCACTGAGCAACTGCAGCCCCAGTTTGTGTGCCGCTTCCTGGAGGGCCAGTCTGGGGTGACCATCAAGCACGTTGCCTGCGGAGATCTGTTCACTGCCTGCTTGACAGGTAGGAGAAGGGGAGGGAGGCAGGGGCTGGCAAGGGAACCCTTGCACAGTCCTGAGAGGTAGGCCGCAGATGCGTTAGTGGGTCTGCACAGCGGTGGGGCCCAGATGTTTTTTCCACCGGACACCTGCAAGGCTTGCAATGGGCTGGAAGGGAAAAAGATTCCATTTTTCACTGTTGCAAGGTGGTTTTCCTTCCTCTTCACCAACATTTTTCAGGCAGAAGCAGCATTGTCCCATTAGGGTGTTTGCTTCTTTCAAAATCAGGGTTTTCAGATGAAGGAAAAGGCCCAGAGTCCACAGCAGAGCACCTCCTTGCTGGCAGAAGGCCTTTGGTCCTACCTGGCAGGTCAGTCAGGCTAAAGAGAGACCTGCTGGAAATGCCTGCTGTGGTCCATGTGAGCCGCAGAATGGGGTGGCTTCATGATGTGAGCGGCTGGCAGCAGCCTGTGGGGGTTCCTGAGATTTGGAGGGAGGCTGAAACTGCCTCTTCCTGGAACTTTCAAATAAACACAGAACAAACTTTCAGCAGAGAGTAGGGGTTGTCAGCCCCGCTAGGAAGACCAGACCAGGCAATCAACTCTACAGGAAGACTAAAACCACTTTTATTGAGATTGGCTGCAATGGCAGAATCTTGCACTTCTGATTGTGCCGTACCTCCTTCCTCTTCTTATAATCCAGTGAATCAGGTGTTCGCCTGAGCCCTTTCTGAATACTAATCTGTTTCTCAGGGTTTAAAAAACATTCCAGCCCCTTTTGCCTTGGTTCCTGCATATCTCCGCCCAGGTCATCTTCCTTACTCTCCGTTCCGGGTTGGTCCTCTTCCGGGCCTTTGGGGTCCAGCAGACGTATGCCCCCTGGTGCTTCCAGGCTGGCCTGCTCATGGATCTCACCGCTGCTCTCACTGGCTCTAGAGAAGTCAGCCAGGTGCAAGCCTAGGGCTGGGGAGCTGGAGCTGGAGGGCTGGGCTG